ACACACACACACACCTGGTCAATCAGTCATTCAAAAAGGTGGTATAGAAGGACCACCCAGGGCTGGGACCTCTGCTCCTAAAACTCTTTGGCCAAAGACAAAATGGAAAAGTGGGGAAGAAGAGAACTTAAGGCTCCACTGTAGAAGATGGGAGGGGACCCAGGTCAGTGGTACTGACCTTACCATTTTTATTTGGCTACCAGTCTGGCATAGTCAGTCACCTTGAGTCAGTGTCCTGTTACATGAGGAGGGAGGGGATGCCTCATTCCCTGTACTGGCTGTCCTTCTCTAGTGCCAAGATGGTTAAGTTTCTGTCTCATGCTACACACACCATGCTCATGTGACTTAGCTACAGGTCCCCTTAGCCACTCTGTGAGGGCACAGATGCCTCCATTTCATTGTAGGAAATGATACTCAAGATTTTCCTGAAAATGACATATGCTGCTAACCTCTGTGCTTCGCTCAGAGAAGTCAAGGTTAGGAAGTGACCCATGGACCTGTCTTGGAACTTTCCATGTAACAATGACTCACTGCAGGGACCAAGGGGTACAGATGGTAGCTGTGTTGGCAGGGCCATGATGCCTTCTTCCTAGAGGACACTGACTCTCCTGAACATTTAGGAGGCTCTGCCCACAGAGTGAGTTAGAGCTTGGGGACAGTCTCACCTTGACCCTCAACCCAAGGAAGGGCTACAGGCTGAGGATAAGCAAGCCCCCCTGAACCATTCAGGCGCTCTTATCCTCACAGGCCATGGTCTATGTGTGAGGAAAAGTAGCTAGTTGGACCCTGGTAACTTGCACAGATAAGGAACCTCAATGCCCCCAAAGCCCATGGGAACCTGTCTTAGTGTCCTTCATAGGTAACAGCACTGAGGCTGTAATGGCCCCCATAGCCTAGCTCTGTTGAGACAACTGCAGAGCTCTGAGCAGGACACTTTCACCACAGGCTGTCATAAGCTTGTCCCTACCCATCACCAGTCTCTCCAGATGGTGTATCTGCCTAGGCTGACAGGAAAATGCAACAAATTCCACTGAGCAGGGCATATCTGTGAACCTACAATCCTTGGCACTCAGAAAGCTGACCAGGTCAAAGCCAACTAAAGAGACAAGTGAGATCCTGCCTTGAAGCAAAGCAAAAAGACTCCCATGACTCTACTTAGCTGAATGTGTTTGTGCTGCTCTGGGACAGTCCTGTCCACATGACTGCAATACTGGATGTGTCCCTCTGCCCATTTTCAGTGTCTATAGGGCCTAGGCCAGTCCCTTTAGACTGCCTAGCATGTACAAGACCATGGTAAGGGTTTACATACAAGTGTTTACTTTTTTGGGGGGGTTTTTCTGTGGCTTTGGAGGCTATCCTGGAATGAGCTCTTGTAGACCAGGCTGGTCTTGAACTCAAGGCAATCCCCCTGCCTCTGACTCCTGAGTGCTGGGACTAAAGGCATTTTTGCCACCACTGCCCAGCAAGTGTTTGGTTTTTTGAGATAGGGTTTCTCTGTGTAGCCCTGGCTGTCCTGGAACTTGCTCTGTAGACCGGGTTGGCCTTGAACTCAGAGATCTGACTGTATCTTCCTCCAGAGTGCTGGGGTTAAAGGTGTGCACCACCACTGCCTAGCTATGTGCAAGTTTTGACCAGAACTTATGGATTGCAGCATGGGGGGGAGAACACAAGAAAGTAGCTCCCAAAGGCCTGTACCTTGTCTTTGATCTTAATGAAGGTTGGAGCCAGCTGTGAATAGGCCCCAGCAGAAAGTGATGAGTGCAGTGGCCTAGAAGAAGCTATCCTTGATGTGTCTAGACCCTGTGGTCTCCAGAGGTGCAAGTGAGACTGGCTCTGCCTGTGCTCATCAAGTGAAACCACAAGGCTGGGTGTCACTTCCTGTTCCTCCCATCTCCAGAGCTTGCAGGACAAGGGGAAAGATGAAAAGGCTAGTGCTTCTGCCCGTGTCTAGCCTGTGGTTCTGTCCTTATCTCAGGCTACCCCCCTTGAGGTTGACGTGATCTGGGAATTATTCCTCCAAGTACCCATCAGCCTCCATGGCTCAAATGACCCTTGTACAAATAGCTTGTCCCATACCTGAGAAAGCTTTGGCTCCAAGACACGGGAGACCATCCTGAGCTTGCAAAACCCCTTCCTTGGGTTTTACTGCTCTATTGGAAGCTTGGCACTCCTTGGGCTGTTGTTTTCAATGGGATGTTTTGGCTTAGAGGGCCTTGGCTGCTTCAGTGACTGAGGGCCACCTGATAGTCCTTGTTCTCACTGTGAGCAAGCTCCTCTCTCTCTCTCTCTCTCTCTGGGACAGTTTCTCCAAGCATCTACTTTGTTCTAGGCTGCTACTGTAATTCAAAGACACTAGGAAAACATGTAGACTTTGTGCCAAATCGGGGCAGAATGGCCCTTGACTAGGGAGTTCCCTGCTGCTGGCTGATACCTCTGATCCTCAAGCAATGTTGGCTCTGGGCTCTTTTCCATCTGAATGTCTAGTTTCTCAATCCTAGGACATTCCCTTAAATTGTCATGCTCAAAAGGTGTGGCCCCTCAGTGCTGCTGGGGACAACACAGGTCAAGTCTAACCAACCTCAGTATGTCCCTAGCAGGGAGGGGCTTTGTCAGTAGTTCAAGCTACTTCCCTCTTCCTTTATGCATCTGAACCTCTGGGAGGCACCAGAATCAAATAAATACACAGGCGAGGCCCATAGACAATCGTTTGTTGTTTTAAAAACACGGGATCTCCTGGAACCCAGGTTGCCTTCAAACTCACTATGTGACCGAAGATGACTTCAACCCCTGATCCTGATGTTACCACCTCTCAAGTGTTGGGATAACAGGCATGTGCCACCATGCCCAGTTTTATTTGGGGCTGGGCATCAAACCCAGGGCTTTGTCTAAGCTAGGCAAGCATGCTACCAACTAAGCTACATACTTGCCCTGCCCCGGAGTCTACAGTCTTAACACTGCAGGACCTTCTGCAAGTGGCCCCTGTGTCACACATGCAGGAAGGGCATGGCTCCTATGTTTAGTCCCTCCAGGCTCAGCTGCGGGTCACACCCTTGTGTGTGAAGCGACTACATTCCATTCCTTGCTTCCTGATGCTGGCATTACAGGCCTGTGCCACTTTTCATTAGCTCTACCATTCTGACAGCACACTTGTGGATTTTCTTTAAACAAAACAGGGTCTCATTGTGTAGTCCTGACTAACCTGGAACTCAACATGTGGCCTCAAACTCAGAGAGGAGCCTCTTGCCACCACACCTGGTGCTACACCCCCTTCTCAGACAGCTGCAATGTTTACAAACATGGGCAAAGCGTGGTGGGTACCCTAACTCTGCATACCCGATATTTGACTAGACACTTCCCCAAAGAAAACGACCATCAAGGCATCACAAACCAGCACTCTGAGAGGTGTGTTTTTGAAAATGCCGATCCAGTTCTTTTGGGAAACAGAACCTAAGTCCTTCTCCTTGCAAAGAGTGAGCTCCACCACTGGACTAAAAGAAGCCACAGAGACAGGCTTCCAGCAGCTGTTATGGGGGTAATGACTTTACTGTTTAAACCGACTGGAGCCAAGATGTAGCTCACTGTTACTACAGAGCCTACACTTGGCCTGGGGGCCTCTCACCTATGCCCGCCCTCACTCCATCCTGAAGCTATTTGGCCTATAGTGCTCCTGGAATCACCACATAACAACCCTTGGGGTTATGAGTTGACAGGAAACAGAGATGGAAGCTTCTGGACTGGCCTACCTACTTTGAACCGAGCAGAGGGAACAGCCCACCTTCCTGGAGTACCGGGCAGTCAGAGCTTTTCTTTGCCCATGCCCCTCCCTGGACGTGTCACTCAGGACAGAGCACCCAGGTGCAACTGGGTTTGTCACCAGCAGAATATCAGAGTCTCACTATGTAGCCCTGGAACTCTCCATGTAGACCAGGCTGGCCCCAAACTCTGCCTGCTTCAGCCTTCCAAGTGCTGGGACGAAAGCATGTGTCACTCTGTCTGGCATTTTAATTTCCCTTCCCCTCTCAATCTTAAAATAGGCAGAGTGGTCACTGATATGTGGAGGGTCATCCATTACCAAGAGGAAAATGGATTTATTGCTTCATAAAAAGAACTCTGATAAAACTTAAGAGAAAACCATAGACTTAAAAACTAATTCTCCCCTCTTGGCACCCTAAGAGGTCTCAGACAGGGTCTCTAGGGGCTGTCAAAGTAAGTGGGTTATTGAGCCAGGCAGGCCAGCTTGGCTTCTCCCACACAAACAGCCCCAGAGCCCTGATAGAGTCTGCCAGCAGGGGGCACTGTGACCACATGGTCACACACAAGGTCCCCATCATAAAGCAAGGCTGACTCTCCCATCTTGAGCCTATTGAAGGCCTAGCTGGCTTCTGGTCTGTTCCAGTCTCATAAAAGCAGCCCCTGGGGGCTCCTCTCCTACCATATATGCACATGAACAACACACACACACACACACACACACACACACACACCCACCCACACCCACACACACCCACACCCACACCCACCCACACCCACACCCACCCACACCCACACCCACCCACACCCACACCCACCCACACCCACACCCACCCACACCCACACCCACCCACACCCACACCCACCCACACCCACACCCACCCACACCCACACCCACCCACACCCACACCCACCCACACCCACACCCACCCACACCCACACCCACCCACACCCACACCCACCCACACCCACACCCACCCACACCCACACCCACCCACACCCACACCCACCCACACCCACACCCACCCACACCCACACCCACCCACACCCACACCCACCCACACCCACACCCACCCACACCCACACCCACCCACACCCACACCCACACCCACCCACACACACACACACACACACACACACACACACACACACACCACACGCAGTAACTCGCTAGCCTTCTTCCCTACTTAGGCCTGGCTCTGTATCTGCCAGTCATGGCTGTATTCCCACCCCAGAAAACCAGCTGTGTGTGGGTGGAAGGGTGCTCTTGTGACGTCCCCTCAGTTCCCTTCAGGTTGCAGGCTGGAACAAGGGTGGCAGTTGAAATGTACTTCCTCCAGTCTAAGGAAGAAGCCTTGCCCGTGGCTCTTGAGGCTTTGTATAACTATTCTGTCCTCCATCCCTTCCCCAGACTGAGATGGGGGGGGGGGGCGGTGTTGTCATCTCCACAGGCCTTCAAGGGAAGGACAGACCAGGGACTAGTCATGGGGGGGGGGTACTGGGATTACAAAGGGGTTAGCACCAACAACAGGAAGCGGGTCCTTCCTTCCTCAGGCAGCCACAGACTGGCCAGGGGAGGTAAGGGGCCAGGAGAGGGGAGTGCAGACAGTGCAAGCCTTTGTCCTCAGGTAGGCGTGGTTGGTGGGCATGCAGCTCAGGGACAGGTAGTGTGGGGAGAGGATGGCAGGCCCCTCTGCTTTGGCAAGAGGCAGAATCCAGATCAGTGAGGCAGAGCCTGCTTGCTGGGGACTCCCCTTGGCTCCAGGTACAGGCCCCATGGAGATCCAAGACCCCAGAACCCCTGGGGCGACAGCTAGGCCAGGCCAGCCCAGTTTCTGGCAGTGGGAGGCTCATTTGTCCTGGGCTCTCTCCTGTCCTTCCACACCAGCACTCCAGGGCAGGGCCAGGCTTTGTGAGGAAGTGTGGGCTCCAGTGTGGTGAAAGGCAGGATCCAGGGAGCACATGGGATCCTCTGGGGCGGGGAGATGACAGAGGCCAAGTCACTGAAGCACGGGCAGGAGGCCACAGCTCTGAGGCGGTAGGCGGGCCCTACACGAAAGCCTCCCGGTTGGATGAGCCATTGACCTTAAGGAACAGCTTGCTGTCTTCCCTCTTCTGTTGAAGCTGCCTCTCCAGCTGGCGCCGGTAGCAAATCAGGTAAAGTGGCAGGCAGAAGCCTAGCATGCTCACGATGAGCAGACCCACGTTCACCTGGGAGGGTGGGGAGCGGGCTGGCATAAGGAGGTGTATGCGCCACAGGGCAGTGCCCTCCCCCACTCGCAGGTGAGAAAAGAGTGAAAATTAAACAGCAAGGGTCAAGAGGTCCCAGGGCTGTCAACCCACATTCCAGCATCTAAATTCCCCAGTTCTCCACGTGTCACTCAGCCGCAGCCTTCAGGGATCGGGACAACTCATGATACCTGGATTGGAATGCTGGTCTTTGGAATGGAAAGCCAGAATCACATCCAGAGAGGCCATCTTTCTCCTCTTGTCTGGCCACTGTCCACAAGGGACCCCTGACTGGGTTCTCTCTAAAGTTCCCACACTGCCCCACTTTCCCAGGAGCAGAATGGAGAGACACCCCGACTGTTCTTACCCAGAGAGGGTCTCCTCCGAGAGGACCCATCATGGCCAGAAACAGTGGCTGCTGCAGGAGAGCAAAGAGCGCACTGACCAGGGACTGCAGTCCTGTAAGACTACCAAACTGCGTGGAGGGGTACCTGTTGAGGCAATGAGACCCGTCACAGCCAGCACCATTCCCAAATCCCTCACTAGCCTGGCTCAGGTATGCTGGTAACAGGAGCTGCACCATTGGTGCTTGTGGGAAGAGGCCAGGACCAGCCTCAGGATGGTTGGGTGCCAGCCCCTGAGGCTTCAGACTGGAGAAAGCCTCTCCCATGCTCAGATGTGCCCCCAGCCTGAGGGTGTCAGGCTGAGCAAAGTGGAAAGGATGGTTGCCAGCAGAGTCTGCGGCTTGGGAAACATTCCCGGGAAGCAGGTTGGAGGCTGAGCCTGGCTCTGCTGTACCCTCCTCCAAGAGCATTGCACAATCACGGAAACTCAGCATCACACTTGCCCGACTCCCTCACACCCTGCCAGGGCAGCCACAACTTCCTCCAAGCCTGGGGCAGGGAAGACCACTCGGAGGACAGGAGGACCTGGAATAACCCCTGTAAGATGCTGCTCAAAGAGTGAAGGAGTCCTGGATTTAATCTTGGGGAGCATTAAGCTCTGCAGCCCCCCCAGGTACAATGGAGCCCTGAGCAAGAAGGAGCTGCATTCATGGTCACAGACGGTGGACAACGGAACTTGGGTTTCAATTTGTGGACCAAGCCCTGGGCAAAAGAAGGAGGAACAGCTGTGTAGCTTCCTGGAAAAGATGTAGGCAGGGTTCAAGGAGATTGTGGCCAGCAAATGGGCCCTTTGAGGCCCTGGGTGAGGACAGCCCAGTACTTTTGGGTTATTCATGTCACTGCGCCTATTGAGGACTATTTACACTTTAGTATTTAGCTCCAGGCAGCCAGAACCCAACCCTGTCCCTGTGAGCAGCCAGGGACAGTGTCAGGACTCCGGCTGGACAGCAAGCCCTGAGGCCCTACGCACTGACCCCAGCTGAAAGACTGACTTCGTGTTAAATGCCATGCCTTGTGGGCACCCAACTGTCTGCCTACTGACTCACCTGCTATCAGTATGGTGGCCTTAACTGACACGGTCAGCAGAAACCCTAGTACTTGTCCCCTGATACAGGATGAAACATGCCAGAAGGGTAGGATAGGCCAGTTTCAGGGTCTCCATGTCACCAGCAGTTCCCTCGGGTCAGGGCCACCACACCACCCAGAGCTTCCAGGACTTACACAGCAGCATACAGGCCCCCTACTGCAGAGTGGATGAATCCTCGCACAATTGTGTGCAGGACGAAGGAGAAGATCTGAGGGAGGAAGGAGGGAGAACAGAGCATGAACAGAAGACCCAGGACCCCTGCTGCCCTTTCCCTCTGGCTCCTGGGGACTCAGGCACAGGACCTGGGGCCACCTGGAGTTGGCTGCCACCAGTTCTCCAGTGAAGAGTGCTTTTTTTGGGGGGGGGTTGTTTTGTTTTCAAGACAAGGTCTCACTGTATATCCCTGGCTGTCCTAGGACTCTCCATGTAGACCAGGCTGGCCTCGAACTAACAAAGTATGTGCTTACCACTGCCTCTATGGTGCTGGGATTAAAGTCATGCACCATCATGCCTGGTCCTTGATAAAACTTTTTGTAACATTAAAAAAAAAATCTAGTAGTAACAACCTGGTAACCATAAGCCTGCCTCTGTACACACACACACACACACACACAAGTAATTTTATTTATGTCTATCAGTGTTTAGCCTGAATATATGTACATACACTGTGTGTGTACCTGGTGTCAGAGTCTAGAAGAAGGCACCAGATCTCTTGAAACTAGAGTTACAGACAGTTGTGAGTCACCATGTGGGTGCTGGGAACCAAACCCAGGTCCTTGCACAAGAGTACCCAGTGCTATTAACCACTGAACCATTTCTCCAGGTCCACATTTTTATAATTAAAAAATATATTACTGGACTAGAGAGATGGCTCACTAGTCAAGAACGCTGCCTCCTCTTCTGGAGAACCTGGTTCAATTCCCAATACCTACACGGTGGCTAACAATGGTCTGCAAGGCCAATTCTAGGGGACCAGATGCCTTCTGACCACTGTAGTCACCAGGCACGCACTTGGCACACAGACTTATACATGTAAGCAAAATGCCCATACACAAAAGGAAATTTTAAACTTTTTTCTCCCCTTTCCTTTTTTTTTTTTTGGGGGGGGGATGAGGGTTTCAAGACAGGGCT